GGCGCTTTCTCAGTAATACATGAAAATTCAAGTACCTTAGTTGCTGCCTGGTCATACTGCGCAGTCGTTCTCACCAGTTCATCCCTATTTTTGTTCAAAACTTTGTCTTTTTCAATTAATTCCGCTTTTGCTTTCTCCAGCTGGAGCTGCAGCTCTTGGTATCTGTGCATCTGACCCTTCGTTTCTTTCTCTTGTCCTCGCAGGCGGAGCTCCAGCTCATTCACCTTAATTCTTAGCTCTTAAAACCACAAGCAAACACCACATCCAATTCAGTGTTTTCACAAAATGTGTGGAATTCACCTTTCATTTTCCTCTACTCTCAAATCTTACATGAGGCAAACATGAACGATTCACTACAACAAAGAAACTAACTGAATTTAATTTCAGTGGTCAAGTCTAGTCATTTGTAGTCAAATTCTCCATAGCAAGAAAGGTGGATTTTGTTGCGTTTCACAGAACAATCCAGGGAGGAAACGCTTTTCTAAAGCACAAATAGTATCTTACCAAGGCTGCCGAGAGTACACCAGATACGACACCCTCAGCTAGCCACCGCTTGGTTTGTATGCTGGCAAACTGATATAATGCGAGATCCAGAAATAAGGTGAGTGTTTCCATTTTTTAATTTTTATTGTAGCAAAAGATGCACGGTCATTAATCGGCCTCAGAATACTCCCTCTTGCTCTTAACAGGTCTATCCCACTGTGTCTGTAACTTTCTGTCTGAAGCGGTTCTAGAAGTCCTCTTTCATGTGTTTAAGCTGCTGCCTGAATGTCCGCAATTGATTCACAACACTGACCCTTCATGGCCATTTGGGGACGAACCAGCAGCTCACAGCGCCAGACTCAGCCCACCAGGGGGCGGGGCTGGCTGGCATGTGGTGCTGGGGGATTGAACCACGGTCCCTGTGCTTTGCTAAGCTTGTTCTAAGTAGGTGCTTTAGACCACTGAGCCATCTCACCAGCCCCCTGGCTGTGCTTTTAACCACACCTCCTAAAGACACTTAAGAAAGACACGTTCCAGAACTGATAAGAGAAAGTGGCAAGAACAACAGGATGAGTGTGCCTGCAGTGAGGGCGATTAATGGCATTGTGTCTTTTAGTGTAATGGTTTATTTTTAATTTAAACATTCAGCATATAGTTCAATCATACATCACATCTGCTTTGTCCCCTAGCAATTCAGTGAAAGCAGTTCACCCTCCTGAAGTTGCCAATGGTTTTACCTTGAGTGAAGATCAAAACAGTGTGAACACCCCACACTGCCAAAACCAGCACTGATTTTTTCCCCTTTCCCCTGCATCTACGCAGCACAGGTTCCGCTGGCCTTGGCAGGGCGACAGCTCCCACCAAGTGAACAGCGGTGATGATTTGCAGGGTATCAGTGCTGCAAACTGCCGAGGCTACAGGGCAGATTCCCGAACACCACCTGGCGTGCCTGGCTCGGTGCCACACCGCAGCACGCAGGCCAAGGTGACAGGTTCACTGCCACACGGACAGCAGGGCAATGTGGGCAGAGCTGTCCTGAAATTCGTCACCCAGGCCACGCCACTGGCTCAGGCCAGAGGCCACATGAGGAGTCAGGCCAGGAGCCAGGAAGCAGCCTACCTGACCTGCTCCTGCAAGGATAAAAGCTTCGCGGGGCCCCCTGGAAAAGCTCAGGGTACCAGGTTTTCCTTACAAATAAAAGTACATTTGGAAACTGCAATGCCTCTTCCGGTTAGGGAAAGGGGCAAGGATTCACATCCACACCTGGGTCACTTCTGCTTACAGTCGTGTCTAAGGAAACGCATGTGTACACCCCCAGGTTAACTCTACCCAGAGGCTCCTCTGAAAGCATCTCAGCCATATCTAATTTAACCTTATTTTAGCTCCACAAATTACCTTGATTCTGGCCTTTCAAGTGATCCACCAGAGGAGAGCCACTGGAACGCTCACCACAACTGCTAGCGGCGTCCCTGTTCCCCGTCTGCACAGTGGATCTACCAGGAGTCGCCTCTTCTTCCCCAAATATGTGAGAGGTAGAGAAGTCTCTCCGGCTCGGAGTTTTCTGAGGATAAGATGAAAGCCGATGCGGGGTCTGGTCCTGCTGCCACGCGAACACAGACGAGGAAGCCTGGTGCCGGGCGATGTCACGGTGATTCATGGTGGCTGGAGCAGTGGCCTGACTGGCTTTCTGTTAAAAGTAGAAATCTTTCAGGGCCTCTTGCAAGTCTTAGCCACCAACGCTACTTATTTCCAAAAAAACAGGAGGCCTGCCCCTTAGCTCAGGTCTTTAAGTAGCTGCTTCAACAAAGTAGTCAGGCTCAGGTTGCTGTGGTTCGATCCC